AAATTTTTTAAAAAACAATTTGAAAACAATAAATAAAACACACTGAAGTAGCTATTGCTGTAATTACATTTTATTCGTTTTTATAGGCTTTATATTTAATTCGAAACAGTTATTTTCATTAAAAAATAAAGCACAAGTATGCCATCATAGGCAAATACTGCTCCTATGATGGCATAGGGGAGAGTGTGGCTGGTTAGCATCAAGGGTAACTTGGCGATTTCATTTGACGTAAGAAAATTCCCTCAGAAATGCCAGAAATAACGCGTCATCATCCTAAACAACCCTTTTGCTCTACACAGCAGTGGTGCAAAATTTTGCGCATGCGTATAAGATATATTGCGTTTTATTTTTTTTTGGAACCAAAAAATGTTTTTTAAAGTAAAAATTCCTTTATTCTTTACTAACAAATACGTTGTTTTTATGAAAAAAAATAGTAATTTAGTTTATTTTTTGTCGTTTTACACATTTTACAATGTTATCTTTAAATTCGAATAAATATATATATAATTACAAGCTGACAGGGGCAAGTAGAAGACATAAAGTCTTATCATCAAGCCCTTTTGCGAAATAGAGAAATATAAAATTTCTAAAATTCCAATAATATAAAAAAGAGTTAAATTAAAAATTTTGAAAAAAAAAATAAACAAACATTCAAACAAAATTAAAATAAAAATAAAAAAGTTTAAAGAGTTTGAAATAAAGTAAAAAGATTGAAAAAAATTAAAAAGTTTAAAATAAATTAAAAATTAAAAAAAAGTAAAAATTAGAAAGAAAAAAAAAATAATAATAATAATAATAATAAAATCTCGAAATAAAAAAATAAAAATGTATACAATGCGTAAATTAAAAAGTTTGAATTTTTTTTACAAATCAGAACATATACGTATACATATTCAATACAAAGCGAAGTATATATTCAAAAATATTTATATATTAAAAAGATTCCAAACGTTATGTAGATTTAAATTCATTTGTTAGTATTTATTAAAAAAAGTTAAAAAAAAAACAGTCAAAGAGAAAATCAAACAAGAAAGATATATATGTATATATATATATTAAAAAAAAATAAAAAAAAAAAAAAAAAAAAAAAAAAAAAAAAAAAAAAAGCTTTTTATCAAAGTTATCAAAAAAATATTATTTTTAAAAAAATGAAAGAATGTATGTAATGTTTGAGTTTAGTAAGTGTTTTTTTATAGTTCTTTTGAATATATCAATAGATTTTATTTTTTTCATATTTTCGTCAAGAACTGACTTCCACAAGCGTGGCCCCCGACATGTAATTGAGAAGTCATGTAATTGAGAAATAGGTTTTCTCTACTCGTCAATACTGCAACACACCTAACTCGTCAGTATGCCATCATAGGAAGAAATCGTCATTTTAATTTCAACAAACTATGTGTGCCTTGTTCAGAAGATAAAATTAAAATAAGTATTCCACTAAATGCACAAAACTTGAAAATAAAATGTATGAAAATTTCATTTCTGCACAGTCAAGAGTAAAATCGCAATCGCAATCGCAAATATTTAAAGCGATTAAAATTACAACAGCACATCGTAAAATCGATTTGCGTTGATTACAAAAGCAATATTTGTGCATAAGAGATGTATTATTACTAAAAAAATTGTAAAGACAGTATAGACATGTTGGTCTAATCACTTTTTCGCCATAACCAATATTTATGAAAATATGACCGGTATGCCAACATAGGCGCTATGCCATCATAGGCGCCTTTCCTCTACCTTAACAAAATACAAGTTTGCGAAGTTGATTACAATTGTTGTTTTCAAGAAATTTCGTTTTTGCAAACAGGTTCTGAGTGTCAACATATACGCGTTTGTAATGTTGTTGTTAAACATATGGTATAAAAACCTTTCCTTTGTCTTTTGTCAAGATAGAAGTGGTATGGCCACGAATAGTATATGGACTACAGATGTTGAGATCCTTGGTATTGCAAATCTAACTGGAATTGGTATTGCTGTATGGCCCTTCACTGGACAAATGTAGATTGGCTTAAATATTCAGCATCCATGAAACTTAACCAACTAACAGCTCATGGTATTCTTTTAGAAAATAAAATCATAACAAAGTTGTTTTGTCACTAAAAGCTTTGTTAATGAAATAATGTTTATACTAAACTAAAATGATAAATCAGTTGTTTTACATGTTGTTTGTTGAATAAAAAAAAAAAAATTCTTTAAAACTTAAGGTGGTAGGCTGCTAAAAAAATTATTTTTGAAGTAAAAAAATAATTCAATAAATTTTTTTACTTCAAACATGATAAGTACATTAGAAAATTCATAATTTTTAATTTTTTTTTTTTTTTTTTCATATATATTTTGGGCAAAAAACAGGTGATTTTAGGCCAAAAACAGGCTAAAATCTTGGTTTGTATCAAAACTCTACAGTAGTGATTTTATGGATCGCTAGGCTATTTAATTTTTTCTAAGATTAGATTTTGTCGCACAATAAAGAAAAATCGCTTTACTTGATGATAGTAAAATTATAACATTAAAATATTACTGTCTCAGCAACTTTTAAGGTTATTGTTTTACCGCAAAGGAAGTTTTACCGGTTAAAAACTTCCTCTCAGTAAAATTTTAACGCAGTAATTTAAAAACGTTACGACGGTATCTTTTAATTTTGAAGCATTAATTATATTTGATTAAATAGTATAAAATATTATATATGAATTAGGTTCAGTTTTGACAGATCACATAATATTAAACACAAAAAGAGCATTTTGCAATAAAATCTAGAATTTTGAAGTGATTTTTAAACACTCAACCTTTCTAAATTGTTGTAATAAGAAATTCAAAATCTAACGTTTTGAGATAAAAGGAATAAAATGTTTTAGTTTTGGAATCCCCGCCTTTCATTGATAGTAGTTCTATATAGATTTTATTAGTGAAAACTTTATACCAATTTGATTTTGTAAATATGTTTTTGGGTAAAGTGGGGCTAGTGGAGCATATAGGCGAGTTGGGCTGTAAAAATATCTTAAAAACTACGCATCACATGACAAAACATCTAATGGAAGAAAAAGAGGGAAATAGAATGTAAAAACAATGCACATCAAAAGATTGCTGATTTGCTATCGAGTAAGATACACGGCCACTTTTTCTATTTTAGACCAACAAAGTAAAAAAAAACTTGCTATTTTTCTCTTGCATGCTTATAAGCTTTTTTATCAGCCATTACTTAAATTTTGATCATTTAATAATTTATTTGGCTTTTGAATAAAATTAACTGTTTTTTCTTAAGTTTTACAGTTTTTTTTAAAGCTAACTAATGCGTCACCTTGTCTAGTTGGGATAAGTCGATAAATTACGCAACGGAAAAAATATTAAAAGAACAGAAGTAGGAGATATTAGGCTCTTTTACGCGGCAATTTTCATTTAACTTGATTTCTTATTTTGATTAATTATTTAAATAAAGACTCTGCGAGGGAAAATAATTTGATCATTTTTTGTTTTGTTTATTGCAAAATTTTGCGTTACGTAATTTATGGACGATCCCTTAGCTTATTTCATTTTTTATTTTAGTTTTTTTTAATTAACCCCTGGTGACAAATATTTAACACAAAATAGACATAAGCGGTAATAGTACAATAAAAAGTTTAATGAACAAAAAATTAATAAAATATATAAAACAATATATTCTTTTTTTACTTTTGGGACTGAAATGATGGTGTCTGGCTATTACGACGTCCTGTATCAACTCTTTCTGTATATATATGTTCGCACATGCCTTGTACAAGATTTTTATTAACTTTTCTCAAAAAGGATGGATTTTTTTTCGCTACTGATTTTCAATTTCAGTCAATGACAAAGTCACTGTTTCTGAATTTGCGACAATTTCTTCCACACTTCAGTTGCAACTGCTATAACTGTTTATCATTGCAATCAGGGATTTATTTTTTTCTTAAATAACAAACGTTTTTTGTTTTTTAATGTTTTTGAAATGTAGAAGTCACACTTGATAACACTTGAATATATTTGCAATTTTTCTTTTTAAAGTTCAAACCAGATTGTTTAAATAACCTTATAGGCTATTGATTTTCCTTGCTGTCATAACTTTTAGTTATTTTCCTGATTCAAGTCTACAAAACGTAAACGATAAAGCACATTGTTCTTCAACTTTGTCATATAACGGTTGATGGTTCTTTCAGGGGTGATTAGAGGCAACAAAATACTTTACAATGATTCACTTGTTTAATTAATTTAATTGGAATCATATTTGGGTAACTGTTTTATTAACAAATCCAAGTCAACAAAATTTTCAGTAAAAGATAACCAACACTTTAAAAATAAAGTAACATAAAAAGTATATTTGGATAACTAAAAATTAAAAAAGTTTATGATTCTCAAAGATTGCGCCAAGTTCTTTTCACTAGGAGTTATCTTTTTTTTATAGATAGTAAATTAACTATGATCTTCAAAACCCGCAAAATTGTCCCTTTGTTTTTTGTTTAAAACTTTTTACTGACTACATAATTATTCAATTAGACGTCAAACTTTTTGTTTAAGTTTAACAATTCTTTTTTTTTTTTCATTTATCATTCATAAACTTTAAAAATTTATGCCTTGTATGTTTTTCAATTTTTTTTTTCGAAAATTGCGTAGTTTATTTATAAATTTGAAATTTGGTTTTTTAATTAAACTTCTCTATAAATGTTTTATTGTGTTTATTAAATTACTTATTTCTACAACAGTGAATTTTTTTAATTTTTTATCAAAAAACGCGTCTTTTTGCTATTATTTTTAACAAACTTATTTTCAACAAAATTTTAGAGAATAGAACACTATTTTCATACAAAAACTTTTATTTAATTATCAAATAGTATTTTAGTATAAAAAGTTTCATATACAGCAAAAAATATAAAATAAATCACTTGTTATCTCAAATTTCAAATTCTTGACTTTACTAAAAACTTTTACTTAAAAGAATGTTAAATAATAGGACGTAAAATGTTAATATTATATATTGATTTATATTTTAGAAATGTTTTAAATATCAGCTTTCAAGTAACCTACAATAACATAGAAGATTTAGCTTATAACGTTCTCTGGGAATATTTTCTGCCACCTTTTGTAACGCTACAATCTGAGATTACACCATTAGATGCTGTAAAGTTTGATGACAACAGCCTTAAATATAAGGTAAAACTACTTTTAAATCATTTATTTTTTATTTAATAAATTAAACAAAGACCAATTTTTTAGAAAGAAATTTTTAACGTTTTTCCTGTTTTGACATTAAAAAAATTATTCTTTAATCTCAATAATAATTTTGAATCTTAATAATTTTTTGAACAAAGTAAAACAATTTTTAGTTTATACTTACATAGTTAGAAATTACTTCTTTAAATAAAGAAAAACAGAATTTAAAGAGAAAGCAATATTGGAAAAACAGACTTAACTTGCTTTTTAAGTTACTACTTTATTTTAATAATAGAAAAAAATATTATTTTTTTAAAAAAACTTTAAGTATTTTGTAATATACATTGAATTGATCCAATTATCAAGCAAGTGTGTTGAAATGGAAACTTAATTTTTGAATTATTGTACTGAAGAGCAATTTGTGAACATTTTATTTTTAGTGCCACTCAACAATAAAACAAATGCAGTAGAATATAATGCTTTAAACAATAATCTACAAAATTTAATATTATTAATAGTGAGTGCTTTAGTGAGTCAAAACATATTTCTGAATCATTTTGAAACAACTTAAAATAATTTATTACAGCAAAAAACAAAAACAAACATCAAAGTTATTGAATATAAAAACAGATAAAGCTTTGTTTAAAAGTAAGGTTCAAGAGTAGATTAAAAATATAACTTTGTGAAACTTTAACTTACAAACATTTTTATTAAATGACTTGAAACAAAATAAGCAAAATAAAATTAAAAAATATCAAACATTATGAGTGTTAACATTTGAATTTTTTAAATTTATTATATATTTTACTTTTGATATGCAAATATAGTTTATATAGTTAATAATTTAGATTTCAAAACTGCAAAGTAATGGAACCAGTCAGAATATTACAGTACTAGTTAACAATTATAAGTGTTTTTATGGTGACTCATTCAATATTGAGATTCCATTCAAGTTATATTTTGAAAATAGTGCCGCATCATCATGGAATTCATTTCAAGTTATAAGAAATAGTTTAAAAGAAGACTGTAAAAGCTTTAGATTGCCAATTGATCAAAATCACGCAACAGGTATCTTCTTAAACTTAATAATATGAACCATGTAACTTTTAAACTTAAAAGATTTTTAACTTATGCACTAGTAATTAGTCAACCTAAATAAAATAGAGAACAAATTTTATAAAAGGGATCATCCATAAAGTACGTATTCAGTAAAACTATATATTTAGGACCCTCTTTTTTTTACAAAAACATGTCAATTTAACTACATCCTTCATTTTTGCTACGTACGTACGCATTTTTTATTACAAAATTGACCATCACTTAACATTAGGACCAAACAATTTAGTAGTTTAATCAACATATCTCTGTTACATAACATTAAGTTGATTTTATAAAATCTTAAGATCCATGTTTATGTTTTGAAACATAAATCAAAATTATTGGATAAATACAAAAGAAAAGATAATAAATTCCCGTACACAGTCCCTATCTATAACACTCAACCTTCTTTTGCATGCATAAGTTTGATTTTGGGTAACCCTTTCTCCTATACCTGTGTTCGTACTTGAAAGCAACCCTTGTTAAATCAAACATTGTTTTATTAAAAAAAAAAATTTTTTTTTTAGAATACTATGGTCGAGGTTTATACTGGGATGACATCAGTTCTCAAATATATCTATGTATTAACCAATATGTTACAAGGTGCAGATATTTTTATTTATTTATGTATTAACCAAAATATAACTAAATA